AGCATACTTTCTTATCTCATGTTTCACAGAACTTTCTGCAATTCTTGTGCTATAATGAAAGAAACCTTTTAGGTGTTCAGTAAATTTTCGGTGACTCAAAAATTCCAAATCACTAAAGACAAAAAATTCATATTAAAGTAGGTAAGCCCAATTCATTAAAAATAGGTATAAATACTAACAAGGAGTTCAGTTCCATTTAGGTTTTATTATCAACTCAAGTTGCTATGCTGCAAAATGGGGAGGAAATTATTTCTTTCACAGAAAGAAGTTCTCTATTTATCAGGCAGCAAAGAAAAAAACATTCCTTTAAGGCTCAGCTTCTTCCTCTCCTCCCAGAGTTGCTTTTACCTCTGCATTGGCCCTGCCATTTTGGAACTTCTGATGTCACAGGTGAGGTATTTTCAACTTTCAGATCAACAACTGATGTCACAATTGCGAGACTGTTATTTCCCTAGAGGACTGAACAAGTGGTATCTGATGCACAGAGAGAAAGTTATTGTTCAAATGCAACAGCGGAAATAATTGCAAAAGTAAAGCAAATGAACAGTCAAGTAAATTAATTCCTTTTTGAATTACTGTTCCTGTTTTCCAAGTCCAAATGATTCTCATTTCCTATTTAGGAAGCCTGAGGGGATGAAAAAGTGTCCAAGATGGTGAAATTAAAAATTAGCTACTGAGCATGAAACATGCAATAATTGTACTTCATAGCATTTTTATTGCCCCAGTGTTCTATGAATCACTTCACCATCCCACACTGTTATGACGAAAAAAATGACACCAATAAAGTCAAAGCAATTGATGTTATGACTTCATCAATCCAAGACTAAAGGCATGCACTTAACGGCAAATATTTTCAAGAAAACTACCACCTCATTTTGAGGAAGCAGAAATGTCATCTTTATGTCTTCCTGAAAGTTAGCCTTTCTCATACCAAATGATGGAACAGTGGAATATGATGCCTAGTGTCATTCCTGTGTCCATATGACACAACCTTGCTTTCTCTTCCAGAAACCAGCCAAGTTTGGGGCTCTCAAGCAACACGAATGCAGTTAACACAAAGCCAGGCTACAGCTAATACAGCTGTCCTAATTCCAAATGCTCTCATTCCTTTGAGGTTTTGCATCAAGATAGTATTATTTTAACAATGAATTGCACTCAGCTTTAGTTTTTTAAAGTCTACAAATTCAGGAAGCGTGAAGCTGAATTATCTCTGCAATTTCACTAAAACCAAATAAAGTTCAATTTATTGCTACTTAAAACTTCCAAGAGAACAATAATCTACACTTAAGACAACAAAGCCGCAGCGCAGCGATCTATCAGATACGACATCAAAGGTACGGCAAGCAGAAGTCACCTCCCGCAGGGAGATCGTGCCTGATCTGACAGCCATGCTCAACAGCTACCCACGTGCAATCTCAAATTCCTCCTGCTGATAGCTGAAATTCGACAGGACTAAATAAATAAGAACATTAGTCTGGATGTGTTTAAAAAATAATAAAAATCCAAACAATCCTCACATACGCTTCTACCTCTACCAAACATCACTAAATCCAGACCCTTTGTACAGCCAAACAGGATGATTTCTTTCTATAACAAATACTTTCTTTTTTATTGAGTGGGTAGGTATCTCGACCAAGGTATTAAAATCTCTGTTAGGATTCTTCCCTTTAAAATAGTAGCTCATTTCCCTTATAAAATCATTAATGGAAAATCAAGCCTTTTTTGTTAACTCTAGTCTAGCTTCCTTGCAGGAGTGCCAGAGGCTTTTTAATATGGATCAGGTCATGAATATACATATTACAAATTGCAGCAGCACTGTGTGGCAACAAAGGACTCAGATCATTCATAGAACAGTAATACCTTCTTTCTATTTTGATGAAAAAAGAAGTAAGCAGCATGCACTGATCAGGACAGAAGTTACTTCCTCTTAAATCTGTGTTTTCCTGATGCTTACAAATCCAGGTTTACAGCATGAAGTAATAGTACAGCACAAACCTAAGAATGATGAACCAGGAGTATTACAGGGCAGGAGAAATCCTCTTTCATGTTATGCCACAATTCAGTCCTGTTTCACATGAAATACAAAGTTAGAAGGCACTGCTGTGGCATAATGTTTCCTAGTAGATTCCTGGCAGATGCCCTATGAGCAAAGCAAAATGGTGTACAGACACAATTCCCAAAGAATTAATGTACCAATAAGAACAGCATTTGTCAGAAAGGCAGAGTAAAATAGCGACATTAAATTCACAGCTAATTTATCAATCAATATTTCAATTGAGAAAAGCACACCCTCTTAAAACCTCTATTTTTTTCTTAGGTAATGGTGGAACAAATGACAACCAAACCCTATTTCCTTACTTGAAGCAGGCACACCAGTAAAGGCTTCTATGGTTTGTGTATGGGTTCATGGGGAGGGAAAAGACAAAGTAATGGCCAGTCTGAAGTACAAAGATGTTATTTGTACACACCTGCTAACCATTACAGGGCTCTCCACGAACTGCTTTATAACTACATTGAGTGAAAAATTGGCTCATGATTAGCAAAAGCTTATTTCCAGAAATATAAACATTATTTAAAACACGACAAATCAGCATATTATCTTCAACACACCTTGTTCCTTTACTTTAACTTCAAGCAGTGCTCACGCTAAATGCCAGTTGCCCAGTCCAAAGGAATTAGCCTCCACAACACTTCTCGCTGTGGGGAAGTGAACCTCTGTGTGTTATCCTAACACACTCCAGTTCAACTCTTCTAAAAACTGCCTGCTGGACCAAGGGTGGAAGAAACTTCAGAAGAAATAAATGAAGACTTCCGAGATACCTTTCCCACTAGAGTACGTGGGAATTCTTTTACAGCATTAACATGTGATGGGACAAGTCTGTCAAGAAGAAAGCTGAGAAAGATGGTGCTGGTTTTAAAGATAGAATCTTTGCATTTTAGGGGCAGCTAGACTCCTTACTTTAATTAAATTCTAATCTACTTTTCCCAGGTTTCAGAAAGTGCTGTCTCAAATAGACTTATCTTCTAAGAAACATAGCATCTTCTTCTCATTAGAGTTGTTACAATGAAAAAACATTAGTACTAAAGCCATAAAAGACTGAGGAAATCGTGGACATTTTCCCCCCAAACTAGTGGATTTTCTTAATATCACTTAAAAAAAAATTGTACAATCACAAGTCTGCTTGAAAAGTGGAAGCTTGACGTTTAAGTGTTTCTTCTGTTCTGTTCCTTAATTAATAAAAGGATACATGCACTGACATTATAAACACTAATTTGCTATTTAGCATCCCAAATTAGGGAGCATAAACATTTATGCACTTCATTAAACACTACCTAAGAACACTTTGAGATTAACAGGAGACAAGCAAGGCTGGTAAAAGCAATTTCAGACTAAGCATTAACCACCGTAAAAAGACACTCTCTCTCTTGCCCTCGCTACAAATTCTCCCCAGCTCCATCCTAGCGGTACCAGCCCCTATGAAATGAGATTTGGAAATCGGTGGGATCTGACAGACCTGTTCTGGTTTAAGGGAAGAGGTTGGAATGCAGAGTTATGGACAGAGAAAGCACTCTTTTGGCAGCACGACAAACTTAGATTGGCTTAAATCAATCACAAAATTGCACCTTGGAAAGCAAAAAACAAATACTTATGTCCTAAATTAAGACATCATTTAAGCACACGTGGCATACAGAAACAGATGAAGTGGCAGTTCCCCCATCTCACCTCCAGCACACTGCATGCCCCATCCCTTCCCACTATCCCAGCTCTGGAAGGAATCCTGACGTCACCCCTCACACATTATCTGTGCACACAGGACACTGCAACAGGCTCCATGTCACGGTGTGCTGGTGCTAAAGGAGGATGAGAAGAGATGACATGTCTCAAATTTACATCAGGAAGGTTTCCATGGTGGAAAAGAACCAACTGGTGACACTCAGAACAGACAAGCTGAAAGGCAGATAATCACAAATATGACACATCCTCAAGACCGATCGGTACAGGTCCTAAGTTATCCCTACAAATCTTATTCTCAAAAATGTTTCATCCTTCACGAAACAAGAATTAAGGCTATTTTCTTCCAGTTACAGACAGCAAGATATAATTCAGACACACAACAAATGATGTCTCCTATCTTTGTGTTGCAAGACTAACTTCAGGGTTACAAATGTATTTTTATTTCTAATTCAAATTTGTGCTAAAATAGCTGTGGTTAAATTACAGACTCACAGGGAAATGGCATTGGATTTTCTATTATACAGGATCTTGCCATAGTGTAGCCATTTTAAAAATCTTCTGAAAATACAAATGTTGTATCAAGAACAATAACATGGACATACTTGAGAGCTTTGTACCAAAACCAGAAATCTGAAAGGCTCCTTGGTTCCTGAAAAAGAACGGCTTTATATATATATATATATATATGAGTACATATTTACATCTTTTTAAAAAATAAATTATTATTTTACAACTTTGGATTTTTTTTTTTAATTACATTGGCAATAGTGCTCTGACTACATGATACGAAGTGAAAAAGAAGCATTCTCTCTGTGTTTTTGACCAAATATTTATAAAAAGAAAAGCGATTAAAATTTCAGTTCAGAAAAACATGTTGTAAAATACAATAAAATCCTTTTCTATAGCAAAGTGAATTTTATGGAGTTCTTCCTTTTGAACAGATTTTTCCTGCAGCCTAGATGCACTAATTCCAGTGAAACAAAATATGTGCAAAATGGGTTTGTGTTTGTAGGATTACAGCCTATGTACAGAAGTGTGGGTATCCCACTGCAACTCGTTGGAAAACCTCTGAAAATTTACTGCTTCATTATAAATGGACTTAAAATCTATCTGACATGACTTAAAAACAGATTCCACTATAGTAAGGCTTTCTGACAGAACTGCTCAAAAAATGAATCCGTTATAGAATGAAAGTAACGTCTCAGGGCAGCTTCTCCCATCAGCAAAAATGCCACACAAGTAATAATAAAAAACAACACTTATGTAAAACACTAAGATTTTATTAAAAATCCAAAATTTATTGCAAATTGAACTTTGCACTTTCCCTCCTTTCTTCATTTTTACATGACTTATTGATATCCATGATTTTTTCACAGATGTACTTGTTGACTTTGGAGAGTCTCTGTGCAATTTCAGTTTCATCCACAGTTTCTTGTGCTATTCTATCATACAAACATTCTGGGGAGAAAAGAAAAAAAAGGAAAGCGTCATTAGTCTATTTTTAGAAGAGAACATAGCCCTGTTTCAGGCTAACTGCTCAAGAGACATCACTGTTGAGTATTTGTTGCAAAACAACAGAAGCTGTCATTGATTCACTGGCTATTTTGTTAAAGATTTTTTTCACCAGGATTGAATCTTTGGCATGACAACCTTCATGTTACACCATGACAGCATTAAAAGGCTTTCTATACAGAGACAAAGCTAACTCCAACCTTCCTTGTCAGTCTTGCCCACCTAACTCTGATATTTTTTCATACCTCCAGAGTATATTTTGAATCTTCTCCCACATGAATGGTTTCACAACTGTTATTTACAGTTCCCTGTCACTTCTATTACTGCATCTTCAAAACATTCAGTAAATTATAATGGTTAGAAAGAGAAGCAGTAACCAGTAGGATAAGCCATCCATTGATTTTTCAATTATTATTATTATTTTTTTAAATCTGTACATCATACATTAGCATCTGCACCTTTATGGTATGCCCTGTCCTGGGGCATACTTTGCTTTTATTAGTAGATTAGCAGGGGAAAGAGCCATCTTCTCACAGGTTTGCACAATGCACTTCGTGTTCTCAACTGTTACACAGAAAGCAAGCAACAGTAATAACTGCAAAGCAATGAAGACAACGAGAGTAGAGACAACCCTGTTCATGGTGTCGGCAGTTCAGTACCAGGACTCAGCACAAGTTCCTGAAACTGACACAACACATCCAACTCCTTAGGCACAGGCACAGGCTTTTCTTTTTGTTTTCATAACCCGAACAATGTGTTTTGTTGAGTAGGCTACTAGCAATAAACAGCTTCCCAGACTGATCAAACAAACTCAGCTCCTGCTTTGCCTATTCCAGTGGCCGTTTATTGCTTTATATACAGAAAGCCATAGAGATTATCACTTAATTAACATGGTTTATAGCATTTATAATGCATCACATTAAAAAGTTATGAAAATTAAGTACTATGCATGCTTTGTAGTTCACTTTGAAACCTCTCAGAAGTTTTATAAAAGGCTATTTCATGTTAACAAGGTTTATAGCAGTGCTCATGCATCACACTTTTTATAATTTCTTTGTTACATACCACACAGTAGAAAATTTTGAAAGAAGCCTGAGATACCAGACTCATTAAGAACTAATGCTGTTACTCAGAAATCCATTTTAAATATACTACTCTGTGTCCACAGAATGATGAGAGCATCTAAAACAATATGAATTTTAAGTTGTATGATATACACTGAATATAAAATAAAATTAACCAGCATGAAACCCAATAGCTGAAATGCCAATGATAAGGAAACTATGATTTGAAGTATGACGCCTAGGAAGAGGCATTTCACTGAGAACCCAAAGAAACCCAGCATGTTTACGGGACAAACTTGTATTGCTGCAATCCCATAAATGTGGCCCAAAAGGTTGCAGCAGATACACTAGAATGGTGAACTTCCAGTACAGCACAGGCTACAGCCACAAAAAAGAATTACTTGACAGAACTGATACATCAGCGTTGGTTCTTAAAGTCAGTATGACCCAGACAATCCATGACTATGGATTATCACAGTTCTTCATCTTCTTTCTCTTCCATTTCTGAGAGGCTGCAGAAACAGTAGTTTAGTAGTTTAGACGGTGGTTCAGGGGCTCCAAAAGTTGATTCAAGGATTCTGCTGCTTCTTTGCCTTTTGACTTCAGAGAAGTATACACACCTTCTTATTTCTGACTTAAGCAAAGATTCAGGTAGACCTGAACTTGAAGGTCTACTCACACTGAAGTCTAACAAGAAACGTTACATCTTTCTGTGATACCTGAACAAAGCCACTGGCCAACTACCTTCCCTGCATTCCAGCATTTGTCCAACTGTTACTCTTTTTTTTTCTTCTCTATTTCTCCATTACATAACAATTTCTCATTTGATTATTTCCAGCTTTCTGGGAGTCACTGTTAATTTAATGGGGCAAGATCTTGAATATTAACACAAATGAAAAGATCACAGAAATGTGGAAAACCATGTTTATGCACTGCCTGCTGCCACCTGAAAGTATTGGCCATGCAGTTTAAGTGGCTGAAGAGGAAATGGTGCAGTCTCTAGTCCGACAAAAAAAGAGTTAAAGACAAGGTGAAGGAAACACTGAAAAGAGAAACATGGAAAATCAGTGAGTAAACAGTAGAATTCAAGTGATGGTGGCAGGAAGCCAAAGTTTGACAAAAAACACAGAAAACGGAGGAGATGGGGAAGAGCTGAATTGCTGGGGAGCATGAAGTTAAGGAAGAGCACAAAAGGAAGAGCTCAATCTGCCTTTCACCATTTATCTGTCGGAGTGCACTTCCAAAATCACTAATCAAAACAAGTTAGAAGAAAGTTATCATTTAAATAGTGTAAGCAACACAGACTGGCCCTGACTGAAGTAGAAGAGCAAATTCTCACATAAGTAACCTTGCCAGCAGCAATGAGAAGCAACAGCCTCCAGCTGAGAAACTAGAAAGCTCACTGCAATGAACAATAATCCCTTTTTACTGCAGGTTTGTCAGTCCATATCTGTAAACTGGGCAATTAATTCTTTTTTCTACTCGGAGCAGACAAGCCACAGAGTGGACTCCTTACATGTCCAGTATGTCACTATGTATGTTAGGATTGTACCAAAAGGTCCCGGTCAGAAGTGGAAAATCAGCATGGAACAGCTTGCATTTCTATATTTATTCTCAAGATAAGTTAATTAAAAAAAAAAAAAAGTCTTTTACTCATTTCTTATGGAGTAAGAAAAACAACAGCAGGAATACCAGCTTCCAACTTTTCCCCACAACACAAAGACACAGACACGCACACACTCAAAGAGGAACAGTATTTCTTAGTTCCAAAAAGTGGTACTTGCAAGGCATGTTACAACCGCACAGTTCACAGTTAAGAGCACACAGTAGCTAAGAACAGGAAATACAGAATAACGAAGCTCAATCAAATTGCAGAAGAAACTTTAATAGGGAGATTTCTTTCAGCCCTACTGCAATTTAGTCTGGACACAAAACCAAAAATCCAATTTTGCTAGGTATTCCATGAGGAACTGCCTCAGTTGTAACTTAAAAAGAAGGCTGAAATACCGAGAGAGACAGAAATGAATGCGAAACACAAGCATGATGATACAAAGGGACTGAAATTCACTGTTCATTTTAAATAAAGGAGAAGGCCTGCTCTATCTCCAAGTACTAAACGCATAGACACTGGCTTGCAGTTACTGAAAGTGTCACTGCAATTTTTTCCTGCCAATGATTTACACTTCCTGTTCAAATTCCAATTCAAGTGCAACATTTAATTTTTACTATTTACATTTTCTCCACTTAAAAGGGTAAAACTATTATTTCTCAGCTTTGAAGGCATGCATATTTTTTACAGACACAACTATAACTGTTTCTGTGCCTCATGTCAGAGTTGGTTACATTCTGGATGGAAGAATGTGATAAAGCTACTCTCAGGCTTGTTAAAAGCAATAGGTGCATTTAGAAAGATTGTTATGTTACAAACAAATTCCAGAATCGTGTGGTATTCTCCAAGCTCAGAGTCCTGTCCTGGAAGTGGTTCAGAATGATGATCTTCTAGAACCTTACTGAAGTCAACACACAACTCTGTGAAGGACTGTGCTGTGCACAGCTATTGCAATGTGTCTGATTTTTCCTGGATATGTATGCATTGACAATGCAATAGCAATTTTAATTACAGTTTTTAATCAGTTAATTTTACATGAGCTGAGAAGAAGCATCTTTCAACTCAGTGATTAATGGTTAAACTTCAAAGCAGGAAGCAAAAGTTTTCAAATAACCTACCTCTGACAATGCTTAATTTGTGAGGTGAGAGAGGTGGCTTGGGAACGGCATCTTTCTTTTTTTTGGTTGCAACTCCTGTGACACTTCTGTTCTTGAGAACATCTGTTCCCCAAATCATAACCGCTAGATTTTTTGTATACTTTGAATCTCCTTGTGTTACTTGCAGCTGGTGCCATTTCTCCTCATCTACCCAAATTCCACTGCCAAGATGGACCTAGAAGGTAGTAATAATAACAGCTTATCTATGGTACGTAGCACACAACAGTCTCCAAGTGCTGTTTGAACATTAATATTAGGTACTATAATAACAGTAATTAGGGTTGAAAAAAAATCCATTTTGCCTAACACTGAAACTTCTCCAGCTTTGTGGGTCAGGGAGTCCCTCTTCTTTTCTTTTCCTCAATTCTTCTTACTCTACCTTTTTAATTTGATTTCTGCCCACCCATAGCCTACCTCCCAAGACTATGATTAAGAACAGAGATAGAAGAAGGAAACAGGAAATATATCCAGTATTATTATAAAGGTATGCACAGCATATAAACCAAGCACCAGCCTAATTTAGGAGCAAAATAAAACATTTTCTTTAACGTGAAAACTTCCCTTTCCCTTTGGCTGAAAAAGTCCCGGAGCGGTAGAAAAGGGGGGTAGCAGAGAAGGGAATACTACCTAAGCCATATCCTGTTCCTGCTAGCAGGAATGAGCCTGATTGTTCAAAGTAACTTGATGAGCAAAAGCGATTTTGAGAGTTCCAATTTCAGCATAAGCCAAGAGACTTCATAAGTGCTGCAGAAATCAAATTCTATAATAAAGTCTACTTAGCCTGAACAGTCTATCCAGGTAAATACTGTTTTGTGGTAAGGCAATGACCCACTGCTGCAACATCATAAACTTTCCATTACCCAGATACAGGGAGCAGAGATATTGTATTAGAGTAGTAAAAAGGGATAATAACACAGGTACTGAGAAATGCAGCATAAAGCCACTATAGTCTCCAACACGAATCTGCTTGAGTGTAGTTGTGCTTCGTAGTCTTGCTCAGTGCTGAATATGCCTGGCTGACTCCCACAGGGCTACCCAGAATCCCTTCCTAAATGTTCCCAGTGCTTCAGACTTAAGACAAATGCAGGACAAGAACTTGAGCACCGTCCTTAGGCTGGCACTGTGCACATCTGAGCTGATAAGCCTCCCGATAACCGGGCTCTGTCAAGCAACAGCAAGGAAAATGACTCCACCTCCACCATAATCAGCAGGGATCTGACATGAGTGCAACTAGTAAATCCAACTGGATCCAAATGCTGGCCCTGCGCAGCAGAACCACAGTTAATATTTGTCCTGTATCTGTCTATGCTCCTGATCCCTGGAATACAGCTCAGACACCTGCAAAGCCTCTGCACGCAGAAAGCCTTGTTCACATGCTGATTAACTTCACCCTGCTGGGCCCGCACTTGCTCGGTACCCATGACAAGGCAGTGCATGACTGAGCTATTCCAATCACTGATAGAACTCACTGCACTGGAAAACAAGATGATAGAACTTGCTTTCAAAGAATTCTGTAAAAGTGGAAAATACCAAAAATATGTATCGACCGGACTGTTGCATCCAAAATTCAGGTTTCATAAAATCTGATTAAATGGAGGTTCTTTCTGCAACACAAAAGCTTTAGTAAAACTTACTGCCTCCTCATCATTAAAAAAAAACATTCTGTGAACATAACTCTCTCCTTTATTAGGAGAATTTGTTGGGCTTAGCTGTTTTCTTCTTAGTTTTTCAGATTTTTTACTTCTTTCATATGGTGTTACATAAACTGTGTCTGTTACCCATATGGATCTGAAGAATATCACATAAGTCCCATTAAATTCACTGAACATTGGACAAAGCTACTGTAAAATTTTATATAGCCATAATTTTACAGCCCATATTCAAGCAAATTCAAGCAAACTTCCATTTCCCTTTAAACAGAAGCCTGCCTTAATTATTATTGTGGGCTATAGCCTGAAGAAATATTTTATTATTACAGCATCTTTCAAGAGTAAGTAGTTGTATAAAACCTTAAACAGGAAAATAAGAATGGTTTGGCTACCAGCTACTTCGTAAAAAAAAAAAAAAAAAAAGTAAAACCATAAAGCAAGCTGCCTCTACTGCAGGAATTACTGTACTAAGAGGATTCTAAGAAGCTTTTCATAAGTCCACATTTTATTTACATTTCATAATAGACAGAAATGGAACTAGTAATAAGCACAACATGAACGCCCTTTCTTTCTTTCATTCCCTGTTGGTGAGATTCTTCATAATTCTTTGAGATAATTCAAAGTTTTGTTGTGCTCTGTATATATTTTGTGAGACACCTTCATTCAAAGTGAGCAGCCTGTGCACAGAAAAGTCACTTTACAGGTATAAATCGGCTATTTGTGGAAAAGTTACCAGTAAAAATGAACACAAAAGCTACTTATAACTGATATATGGAATGCCGTGATGTGAGATTTTGGATTGCTATATTAACTAAGTTCTAGAGACTGCCCCCTATTTGATCAAAAAATCTGATTCCTTCTTCCTAGAAATTGTTTAGTCTTTTAATTGTTCATTAATTTTAAGTTATTTAATATAAAGCATAAAGTACAGCAAATATTTTTGATATTTATGGTTCTGGCAGATCACTTCTTCTTTGAACGTCCTTCATTTATTAAAAAAAATAATGATCCCTGATACGAAACCCCTATGGTAACAGGAACGACGTGACAGACAGCCACAGCCACAGAAATCTTATGTCTTTCTTTTTCTATTTCTAGCAGTGTCACAGCAAGAAATTTAATCTGTCCATGTCTCAGTTTACCTCTCAGTAGAACAGGCTTGGTACTGTTTCCTATTACTCCCAAAGTTATGGGAAGCTTACTGTATCAATTCAGAATTCATTACCTTCTTGCTGGAAGAGGTGCCCCATGGGCCAATCCCTTGGCTTGATGAAATCAATGGGAACTTTGCCCCTGACTTCAGCAACAGCAGGATCAACCTTTAAGCCCAGTGCAACAAGAAGAGCAGCAAATTCAAAGCAACGCTCACCATTGTAACTGTGCTAACAAGTGCAATATATTTAAAATGTATCTCAGAAGATGGACTTTTTTTTTCCCCTCTCCAATGAATGCCATGGGCTCTTGTTCAGTAACTCTGCTGTCCCTCTGGAAGAGACAGATTTATCTGCATGGAAAGAATCCTGCTAAGATCAAACACAATGCCACAAAGGAGTAAGATTTCTAAAAAAGTATTTCCACTACGCTAGAAATGTACATCAATACAGGAATACTGGAAAGAAAAAAAAAAAAAAAAGACATGAATCAGGAAAATGGGGGAAAAAATGCTATCCAACACTAAATAAATTACTAAATCTGATCCGGCTGAAGCACCCCTAAAAATAAGAAAAAATTAAAAATATCCCCAAAATACAAAAAATAAAATAAGGTAAGAGATCTGTAAAGACAGAAAACTTGCAAGTGTCAAGAGGCTGGCAGATGAAACAAAGGTGCAGAAAAAGCTGCATACAAATACTAAAGAACATACCCTAGCTTACAAACCTTACGGAGAGAAAAAGTAAACTAAACTGTCACACTAGTATGTTGTAAGTTTTCATTGCCAATAATATGCACACACAAAAAAAGCAAATGACACATGTTAAATACGTGTATTAGGCGAGAAAAGCTACCTGAAGAAAATAACTGTCAAACTGCCAAAATTACACCATTTTTCATATATGTTTTGTCCTCAACAATTATGTTGAATCATCTTTAAGAAAGACAGGCACTTTTGCAGTCAATCTTGTAACACAGATCTGAAAATGTAGCATGTGATGCTACTCCATTACTAAATTCTACTCCATGTGAAGGCTGAAATGGACACTTCCTCCTAAAGGGTTCTCAGATTGTGGAACTGAATGCATACATATCCTAAGAGAATGGATCTGCACAGGCAATGCTTAAGGACATATGGTTTTGTAAAAGAAATATCACGTTAATTTAATCATAATGGCAACAGCTATAAAAGCAGGCCTCTGTGGATAAGCAGACAATGGATTAAACATGCTGGAGTCTGAAAAACTATCAGTCAGGTGCTGGCATACTGCAGCTAGACTGCATTTCACCAACTTCATAAAAGCATCTGGAAAGCAGAACTACTTCAGCTCATCTCAAAGGCAACGCTCCTACCATATTCAGGGGAGCCCATTTTCATTCCAGGGTTCATAATTATCTGCTGGACTCCAACCAAAGCATGAAGGTTTCTCTGCAATATGAGTATAGCACACTAAAAACATTAAAGACCTTCTAAGAAAAAAGGTATTTTTGTTAAACAGACTAACATAACTTTATAATGTGTGTCACTGACTGCTGTATATTCAGTGGATTTACGTATGTCATCAACTGAATACTCAGTGCATGCACATTAATTTTATTTCTTGTGTTATTCAGCATTCTATGCTTTCAACACTGAGCATAATTTTCAGTGCTGTTCACATTTGCATAATTCCATCATTTTCCTCAGCATTAACAGCATACCTTTGCAAAAACAAGGGAAGTTTGTATAGGCTGGTATCATGCACAATCCCCAGGATTATGAAAACTCCACAAGAAAAAAACACCTGAAGGACATTTACAAACTATTCATGCCACATTTAATTTAATTTAAAATACCTTTCCATTCTCGAGAATATACTTGTCCATTACTGGAACAGGGGCAGGAAAATACGTTGATGTATTTGCTTCCTCACTGAAGGTCTTCTGTACCTCAGGTTCAGGCTCAATTGTTTCTGGTTTTACTTTTTCAAGCTCAATGGCAGGTCCTAGACAGTTAAGAAAAGAGAGCTGTCTGCTATCCCAGAGAACATGGCATCAATCACTTCATCACCCGTGGTTAGCGTAAAATATCACAGTGGTCAAGTTCACAGTAAAGTTAGAAAGAGCCCAAACCAAAATCCTACTTGTGAACATCAGTAAGCAAGAGCAGGATAAGTAACTCTGTCTTATAAAGATTAAAACATTCAATTTAAATTTAAGTGCTTAATTTTATTCTTAACACGTAAAAACTTTAACAGGTGTGGATAAGACTGCTTCAGTGCACACTATGGGTATTTTGCTGCAGTGGTAGTGAATTTATAAATCAAAGGACACAATAGTAATTCGCCAAATAAGAATTACTATAGAGTTATGTAGAAACCTACATAATTTACTGATAATTATACCTAATATTATATGGATAACTTATATTTAATAGAAATTTGAAAACTCTTTAGATATTTCTGAGCATCTACAAAAATGTCACGAAGGAAAAAGGCTTAGGCTACTTATGCTGAAGTATCATGCAAAGAAAGATTATTCAAAGTTAAAAACAAAATAAAACCATAAATTAGAATTTTGATTCTCCAATCCATCCAAATCCATCCACCACTCCAATTTTTATTTTTAAACTAATCAACAAAAATTAAGCACAAATTAAGTAATAGAATAATGTTAATCATTTGTTTTCAAAGGAGGATAATCATATTGTCAGTCATCATCTTTTCTTTTCCAGGTCAAATTGATCAAGTGCTCCTAAAAAGGCAGAAGAATAAAACAAAAGAATGCGTGAACTGGATTTTATTATCCCATTCATGGCAGCAGTTAAACCAGTTAAACCAGAGGTCTCGGAACAGGCTATGGTCTGAAGCCTGTCCGGGTTTCTCGATGCCTCTTAAGCTCATGAGAAGATCCAACAGCCACAGAGGTCCCATGCAGAGAGAGTGGTTTGTTAACAGCATAGCTGCCAGCTCAGAGCCCAGACTAAGGCCATCACCCACTTCAAGAACTACAAGGATAAACTCACCTACTTGTAAGAGCTACAGCGAATCACATATTGTGATATTGCACAGATTCAGCAAATGACAATTCAATAAGCATATCACCATTATGGACCAGCAGGTCAAAGTCTGAACTGACCTATGGCTGCAAGTCAGCTCAGAACAAGAGCTTTCGGGTCACTCTCCTTAAATAACTCCTGCACTGGAACAACCAAAGTATTCATTCCTCCCACTTTGTGCAGTTTCATTTATAGATTATCGCACAGTCATATCAGCATTTCCCCAACTGCCAGTATTTGACCTTTATCCTATAGCTTATTCTGTACCTACATAGCTAGCTAGCTGTTCTCAGATGACTGCCAGTCAATGCTCAACAACAAGAAGTCATCCAAAAACAAGAAGTTGACTTGCACAACTACACAGCAGTGCCACCAATAGTGTCTTAAGAGCCATATGCAATGCAAGCATGGCACAAAGAGAGAAATCACAAGAACATAACATTTGCATTACAATTTCACAGTCATTTTCATAAGCACTTGAACTATCATGCATATAACATGGTGAGACTGAAACAAACTGAAGTTTCAACACCTGAAAGTGTTAAAGTGAGTCAAATTGGGGGAAAATCTTGATTGATTGAACCATCCGGAGTCTTTGTACAGATCTTCGTGCTGGCAGATGCAGGGATGTAATTGCCACGTGAACTTAAGATGGAGAATTGAACTTTTGGCTTTTTAAGAAAACACTCTTCAACAAAGTGCTATTTTGAACATTCTTCAAATGTATTCCTCTTATACTTCGAAAACTGCTTCAAGGAAGATACCTAAGTATAATCACTTTCTTCCTAGAAGGAAACATTTATCTCATCTAAACACTTTTAGTAGTTGCTACTTAGAAGTCTTTTACTGCACGTTTATAGTAATATATTGACACAGCTGGGATCTGGTTTCCAGAATCTCCCAAGAAAAATAGCTGACTGAAGTCCACAGTAACCATAGCTCTAACAGGTCAGTAAGATCTCTAATTCAATTCATGCTTTGCTGCTGAAATCACCTACAGAAAGCCTTTAAAATATCTCCTTTTATACTCCACTGATTCTTCTTCCCAAACAGAAATCTGTCTCTAAGTAGGTAGTCTTCCCAGTTTCTTTCAGTAAGTACTAAAGAGTGCATTTTCAGCTCCACACATTATGAGTTAGACATGCAACTTGCATTGTTACCTTCATACCAGTGGGTGTTGTGTGCCTAATTTATCATGCACCATACTTTAAAAGTTCTATCTCTGTAGCTCTTGTGCTCTGCATCTTATTCTAAAAAGAGCAATGAACAGGGACATATATATATTAAAAAATGCTGCCATCTAAAAGATTAATAACAATAGTACTCATTACATACGGACTGTGAAAAAATAAAGACAATTATTCAAGACACAACAAGGAAACAAATGCTTTCTTGAAAAAATCTTCTTTCTGATTATAAAGTTTCCTTACTATCTGAGAGGCCCTCAACTTCAAATGCACTACAAAGAGGCAGAAGGCTTCTCTTTAAAACACCTCCTGAGTTAACACGGTCTACGAGGATTTCAGTGAAAACAGCAGGAGTCTGAGAAATGATCATGCTATTTATATATGCTATTTCCTGTACTCCTACTTGCTAGAAATGTTGGATTTTTTTCATCAAAAAGCCAAACAGATAATGAGAAGCTGAACAGTAGTAATTCCTTAAGCGTATGCTAAGACGCACAAACACCTGGTCTTTCTCCCTGTTCTGTTGTCCGTCTCATGACCCTGTAAACTGCATCACCACAAAGACAACAGTTAAAAGAAGCTCTTTGTGAATGAATTGAGGTGGGTACACCCTTAGGCATTAGAAGAACGTTAATTCCTAGCAGTGCAACATGCGTGTCTGAAAGAGATCTACACTCAAAGAGCATCCCTGATACAACTTCACTACTTCTGGTCATATACAATCACAGCAAACTATCCATATCTTAATTTGGAGACCCTTAGTTTTAGAAAAAGTTCTTGAACTTCTCATCTTTTGTATCTATTTAAAGTTAGGCAAATAGGGAAAAGCCGTGGATTTTCAAAGTCACATCACTCTCTCTTAATAAAACCAGGGCAAATTAGTGTAGTTTCAGGTGCAACAGAGCAAAGACAAGCTACAAGGCTTCCTGACATCACAGTAGGCAAGTGCAGAGAGGCTTTGGCCATGTACATACTTCAGGGAGTATGGGCAAGGGATACTGTGACTACTTCCACTTATCATCACCCTCTTCCCACACTGCATTGAGCCCTACAACACTGGTCAAATTCTTGTATCCTCCAGGAAGTGATCCATATTGAAATGATGGAAAACCTTCTATTATTACCCATGGATCAGTAGTGATTTCACTACCGCTGTTGGCCACAACTGCCCTCAGGTTCTGCTGTCCCCATGTGAAACACTGAGAATCTCACTCCTCCCACAGCAGCAGCTCAGGATTTAGTAGCAGAGACGAAGGCCTATGTCTGGAGCAGAATATGCTGACTTCTTAATTCTCACTGAAATCAGCATATTGATAGGAAATTAAGAGACTGAAATACTTGACAGAATGTTAACTCAAGAGGGTGTTCTATATTTGATCTGCAAGTTTAAAATGGCAACAAGGACGTGTTTCCCACAGCTGCAATTCATCAACACAAAACAGCTGTCATCCCATGCAAGCAAATCAGAAGTCTCTATGGTGAAAGAGAAATGCAATTAGTTTGCATTAAGTTCAGCCTGCTAGAGGTAAAGCTTAACTTAAATGACATGTCATTTGAAACTCTGAGTTTAGGAGATCACCACAACAACCAAAGATAGATTTAGGATATAACCTATTTTCTGAATCATTTTCAGAGATTCTTCACATACTCAAACATACTCCATTTACAAGACTGGAAAAGTAAAGAAATACATACATAAAGATTTTTTTTTTCCTGATTAAAAACAGCACTTTTTCATCAGTGTCATCAGACTCTCTAATATATAAGTTGCTGAAGATAACTCTCTTTCTAATCTTTCTAGAACTTGTTTTTTTCTCTGTGAGAGAGGCTACAATGAAAGGCAACAGTTAGCAGCAGTTAGTATACAACAAGTCTATACACAACACACACAATACACACATAACACACATGACACACACACAGTACAGCCCATTGGGCCAAATTCTACCTTTGTCATCCATGAAAAGTTCCAAAGGGATCCAGGAGAGAACCCACCTCCAGAATGTTTTTTTTTTAATGTTACAACTAATTATTATAAAGGATTTCTGGAAGTTATTCATAATTAGTATTCGTCCAGGCATACAATTAACTTGTTTTCAATGTATTCAAGATTCAATATTTTCTATTATGTAGCAGAGGGCATACTGATAACAAACAGGTCCAATGGATGAAGATTCCGTTTTTTTTCAGCCTTTTTTCAAAAGTTTTTCTTTTTTTTTTCCCCCCCCCTTTTTCTTCTAAGTTTTCTTAACATGGCTCCAGTGAAAAAAAGCACCCCCTTTCTTAGAGTGAAAGAAACGAGACAGAATTCAGAAGCTGTCTCCATTCCATTGCTGGTCTCACCACTCAAACTGTTGTCAAGTCTATCAACTAAATTGGTATTTTAGCCCCATTGCCTACAAACATCTGGTTGACGTTCCATTCACATAAATTCCAGCTAACTATTTGCAGATGAAGAAACATCTCTCCATCCAAGGAAAATTTTTAGAGAGCTCAGTAGAATCTACTGCCAACCACATTGTGCTTTTTCAGATTGTGGAAATCTTGCCTGTTTTATTTTAAAAGTTAAATATAATGTTTATAATAAGTAATGGCATTTTAATTACGCAGAGCATAACAACAATGAGCGTTCACACCCAAACACCCAGTTTAACTCCTCAGCCTTGAGAACCTGGGTCCAAATCTGCCAGCACACCTTAACACATGCTACAGCACAGGCACATGCTCTATCAGGTTCAGGTTTGTACGTGAATGGAACTCAGATCTCCATGCAAACTGCATGCATTCGTTCAAGTAGAAGAGCCAATATCCAACTAACATGCAAAAATTAATTTTCCAGATACACAAAGGCAGACATAAGACACAGCATGCTAAGTTTGGATGCGTAAATTTTAACCAAGTTTCAGTCACCAAGCAAATCTTCAACACAACAGTTCACATTCTATTAGCAAATAAATATAATTCAGTAAAATATTTGAAGGTATTCCAAGGGTATCATCTTCAATGAAAAGGATGAACTTTTTATTTTGTCTTTTTCCCATTTATTCCAACATAATGATTAAATAATTGTTATAAACCAAAACAATTTAGCAATTACTCAAGATATTTAAAATTTAAATCCAAATTACACAAACCTGTATTTTGTAACAAGTGCTGATAACGGGACACTAATATAGAAAGTTTTTCTTAATTAGTCTTTAACAAGCCATTATTTTTCAAATAGCATGGCTGTTTAAAGCCACTGCCAAGAAGTTTAGGTGTATTCCACATTCCAGTGTGCTACTGACAGGAAGCGGGGGCAGAAAATGGGAGGTAACACAGTCACTTACATAACAAAAAACCCTAACTGAAAGAAGTAAAATAGCTTTTGCCCAAATTTTCATTGCACTGCCTTTTCTTTCTTCTTTTTTTCTTTTTAAAACTGGAACATATTGGTATATTTTGCAGATTAAACTTTATTATCTTTTTCAGCATATACTGGAATTTGAAAGACCTGTTAAAATACAGCTGCTTAAAACGAAACTCTGATTCAGCCAAACCAGCACAAAGACCTCTACTACCATTAAAGAAAAACCCAGACATACATATCATACAAATTCGACGTATATTGTACAGCCATAGCAGAAAACCCTTTTAACATTCAATGTCCAGTTTAACAACCACTGCTATTCTTCAAAAACGTTTCCATTACTATTGATCACATTTGCAAAATTCATTAAAACTTGTCCCATTTAAGTCCGGCACTTACCACTACCTAGTCTTAGAAGCAGTACATCCTGGAGTCTCCTGTTCAAGTCTCTGAGCTCTTTCATTTCTGACACGAGTGCCCCATATTCCTTTAGCTTCTTTGCTTGTTGCACAAGCTGCCTCCGTGTTCTTTCAAGCTCCTGTTGAATGTGTCTCATTTCTTCTTGCTGCTGTTGGTAACTCCTCAGCAATTCTTCATACAGAATCCGAGGGACTACAGCATCGTCCATGTTGTTCATCCCTTCTGAAGCCTCCATGAAAGCCTCCTCAGGGCTGGAAGTATTACTGAGACTCATCCCATTTTGTTTTTCAAGGCGAGCAACAACTGCTTCGATGCTTTTGTGTGTACCTTCACTTTGTTTCCTTCCATCTTGCCTCTGAATGTTACAATAAAAACAATAATAATTAGTAAGGTTTAATATTATTATAAATTAAAATTCTGCAGCTTTGTGGACTGTTAATATTCTTTTACTTATTAAAAAAATGCAAAAAAAAAAAAAAAAGCCTGCAAAAATGTTTTGCCTACCAAATTCTTATGAAGACACATGCTGTAGCTATCATGCAGGTGTAGTTCAGCAAAATGCATATACAAGCTTCTGAGGCGCAGAGGTCTTTCTTTCAGGTCTTTCTTTCTGCATTTGTGCAACACTTGCAAACTGACTGTAAAATAGGTCACTCCATTCCATATACAAAGCTAATTTATTAAAAAAATAACACTGGATCTAGATCTCTTCTGTTTAAGTTCATGTTTAACATCTAGATTTCCTATAACAATGGCTTTTCTGGTAGGTAAGAGAGACAATCAAATATGTTTGTCACCTGCGATGACATCAGAGATCAAAGGAGCACACCATACAAAGCTGCTGTATGCATTGAGGGCTTGTCCTTCCCACACATGAGGAGACAAAGCCTTCTGACTTTTCCTCTGCTACATTAGCCTAACGGGTGAATATGTTAACACTATCAGGAAACAATGAAAGGGAATTGAAAACACTGAAGTAGGAGACAGTATGTATCATCTAGTCTCATTTCCCTGATCAACTGATTGTTTCGCTATTAGTTCTACATTGCAGAGGCTTCAACTCCTTTGAACTCTTGGCAGAAATTTACCTTCAGTCTTCTAAATAAAATCCAAACTCTATAAATTAAAGCACACCTGTTTTGGGGGGCCCATACAGCAGCAATAAAATGTAACAGTACGTGTAAAAGTCACTACGTTTTATTGGCCATATATGGAAAAAGTATTTGAACTTCCAAGCAACTGCAAGGAAAGCAAATGTAGTTCATAGACTAGAGACAAGAAGCTGACACTATCGATTCCCATACCACAATATCCATGAGTAATGTGGCAGAAAATGAGATTACTTCATGTTAGGCCTGCTCCACGCATGCTCTAAAAAAAAAAAAAATAAATGCTGGCCCACCATAAAGAGATGTACTAGCATCATTCCTGCAGCTGCGAAACACATGAAGCCACAGAACATTATTTTATTCTGAAGGCTGGCAGGCTTTTAAAGAAATCATCTGATATCAAAAAATAAATATGGTTACATAGTGGGCTTCTGCAATCTGGACCTTAAAAGGCAACTGGCAGTTATAATGTAGGGATGCTGCCTTGTCAGTTTGTCTTCTCAAGAAGTACTGTATTTGTGAAGTCTCAGAGTACCCCTTCCAGTTCCAAACAAGCAAAGTACATTAGGTCATAAGTGCCACTGAGAACAGCTGGTCACTTTTAAAGCATTCTGCACCCAAGTGAAAGAGCATCATTCCAAAAACCTCAAATGGCAATTAAGCCATGTGAGACCATATAAACAGGAAAGTGTCTGATTGCACACGAATCAGCTTTTTGAAAACCCATACCATACCCCTCCGCTCCTAATTTAAACCAATTACAATAAACACAATGTTTTAAAGAGATCAAAAGCAGGACTGGAATTCTTAAGCTATGAAGTCTGTATATGCCCCAAGCACTTCCTCCCCCCCCAAAAAAAGAAAAGAAAAAAAAGGAAAGTCTTCAGTACCTTACTGTGTCTAAGCTCCACATCTTCTTCCCCATAATCTGTAACCTCCCCAGCTTCTTCTACGTGATTGAGAGAGAGTTTGGGGATTTTAATTTTCTTCTGCATCACACTGTTCTCAAGGTCAGTTTTGTCCTCTAAAATGTATATTGAAAGTAAAATTTTGTTACATTAATCAGTGTTCTTACTTCCAAATGCTACATGACTTCAGTAAGACTCGTTTGAAAAAAAAAAAAAAAAGAAAAAAAATCTCCCATGCTTCATTCCCCTCAAATTAATGCATGGTGTAACTCAACTGATAGCCATTGACAATGCTAGAGTTTCAACAGGAGATCAATCTGGCCAAACCCAAGCTTAAGTATCGTAAAATGCCAAGCTAAGTTTATTGGAATCATCAGAAGTGTCAACAAGTAGGTAGTACTATCACTAAATAAGAGTTAAAGATGCTGTAAATAAGGCAGCTTCCTAAAAGCATCTGCATCACTTTAAGTTTACCAAAAGTATTTTCATATTCATCATCTGTTGCTGCAGTTCAGACTCTGCTGAGGCTTAAAGTGAAAATAAACTTGGTTATTTACCCTGTACTGTACTTGTACCAACAATCAGCAGCACAGATTTATTTGCTAACATGGCAGATTCTGCAGTCTTGCAAAGATCAAGGCAGGAAAAGGAGATGCTGCAGGACATGTTGAAATCTTTGAATCTCAAAAAATTTAAGTAAAATATTTTCAAGTATGAAAGATTGTAAAATACCTCAAAATTAAGTATTTCCTGAAAATACGTTTGAAGCATTTTAATATTTTTGAAAAGATGCAAAGGGGGCAGGGAACCAAGAGTACAGTCACCCCAAATGTGTCTGTGACCTGTGAAATTCTTGCAGAGCAAACCAAGTCTAAAGAAATTCACCAGCTTGGTTACCCATGCAGGACTTCGACAAGGAGCGATGCCTTTAAAGTCTGAAGTGTTGTATTTGTGCACTGAAAGCCTATGAATAAGAAAACGTTTTGAGTCTTCTTATCCACCTGCAAACTGTTTTTCAGAAAGTGTCCCATGAATATTTTTGAAGGTGCTAATGAGGATGACATTTCTTAGTGTTTAGTTGCATTGACTTCTGCTTTCTCACATTAGCATCTCTCCACAGGACCTTGAAATGGTTAGAGTTGACAACACAGAAAAGGGAAACAAAGGTAAATCACTGTTTAATGAGGAGCGAGGCATTCATTAGAAATGAATTACACAGATGAATGCAATTCATTTTGTTACAGATAGAAATGGATCTCTTGTAGGCAAATGGTGATATTACAGCCCACGGCTATGTAAAAAGAAAAGGCACAGAAAACGCAGAATAAGACATTAGACAACCTGAAATGAAATGCAGATGGTTGCAATAAATACTAAGACAGATGCAAAACGAAACAGATAAACAACAGAAAACAGCTAGGCTTATTTTAGATCATTCTCTGTTCCCCAGAGCACCATGGATGCTTATCCCAGTAAAACAAAAAAGGCAATCCAACTGTTTCAGTGTTGGGAAAAAAAACTCATAAAAATACACAGAGAACAACAGCACACAAAAACCAACCCTACATTTCCATTTATCTGGAAAATACAGGTTCGTCAGAAGAGGGACACAGCTCACTTCTACTGTCAGAGAGCAGAGGATAAGATAGCCCTTACTAAAAAACAAACAAACCCAAACATACAAATTTGATTGAAGGATAGGTTAATGGGTATTGGTATCTTCTTGGAAGATTGGACATTGAAAACTAAATAAATCCAGATGGAAAGAAAAATATACATTTTTCTGTGACTATATACTTTGGTGCACTGGAGTGTTTCACTAAAATATGTGCTCACAATTCTTTCAAGTGCACATTTATTGCAGAGCAAGCTTCCCTAGGTTGCTTTGCCAAACCATCTTCCACAGAACATGAAGAACAACATTCTACATCTCTTCTGCATTTAAAGAATGTAGATCTGTTTCTCTGGTCTGAAATAACCCTTGGCCTCATTACAAGGTGGACATAATCCAATTGCTTCACATAGTTACCTAAAGTGCCTGCTGGCAGCTACCTGAGGTCAGCCCTAGCCAGAACCCCAGGCAAACTGGAAACAGACACCATCAGTTCTGCCCATGGCCTGGGAAAAAAAAGGCTTGAAACACTTCTGGAAAGGAGTCACAGAGGAATAAGTGCATGTGCAGGCTACAGTGAAGTCAGCAAATACTTTCTGACATACAAAACATTAAAATAAAAACAATTTGGAAGAACAGAAATATTTTTCTTTTGGTTTTGGCTTTCTATTTTTTAAGTCAACTTAAAAAGGTTAAAAACACATTCTATGCTCTGAAGAACAGAAATGAAAGAAAATAGCCAGTTTGGGGGTCAAATAAAACAATGCACATTATCTGAATTCTTTACCTTTCATTCCCTCCAGTTTCTCAGTCTGCCTATGAAATCTGTATTTACATGACCTAACAGGTGGACTGAAGGTAAAAGTGTATTTATATACCTCCTTACGAATGCTTAGTTTATCAATTTTCGGTGTCTGATTATCAGCACAAGTCTCTCCTGTGTTTGGCAAATCTTTGTGTTTGGTTTCTTGATATTACTGCTTGTCCTGTAAATGAGCCAGTGAGTTGAAGAATAACTTTTCCCCACATGCACAAAATTTGAAGAAACAATGGTGAAAATGAGTCTGTGTAAATTAAAGCTCAGGATTTTTTTCATTTAGTTGATGAACTAATAATGTTATGTTCCTCTGTATCCAGTAAAACTCCATACAATGTTTTCTTACATACGCTTCTAGGCCTATTTATACCTAACACAATTCATCCAGTGTGTTGGATATTAAAACGGTCTTTGTTGTTTTTTTTTTAAAGTACATTTCTAACGTCTGTTGTCTTCCACATTAGCTGCAGAGAGAGCCAGAAAAAAAAATATCTTAATTTTAGGATAATGCTTAAGTACTGGCTCATGTTCTGTAAATATTAATGGAATTTGGAGAGGGGTAGGAGGGAAGAGAGACTAGACTAGAGGGAAGGGTAGGAGAAACATGAATGTGCCTTTTGATCTGTTCTTCTTACAACTCCATTTCTTCTCTTGTGTAAGCCTACAGAAGGCAAGGACAAAAGAGCAATCCAGAAAACGTGAAACATGCACAAATCCTGAGCCAGGAGAAAACCAGGATATGAACCTAAACAGCTGGACAAGATGCAATTTGCTGACTGGAGCTATAGAACACACTGAGAAAAGCAGTCCCAGAAATGCTGTCACTCAGAGCCTTTTGCAATAACGTGAATTGTTTGTCCAGACTTTGCCCCCAGTCATTTAAACCTCGACACAAGTTAAAGATTATACCTTCCCTTTGGTGGTCATAAACAGACTGTCACTAAGTTGTATCTACTGCTTTTCCTGTGCGTGAAATAAGCGATTTAGTGAAACTGACCGCTGAGAAGTAGCACTTAACATAGCTAATTAGGTACCTGTAATGGAATAAACAGCACAGAAGCACGATGCAAGCATGGACAGCATTGAAGCCCTCTGCCCTTTAAACAGGCATTCCAGAAGACCCGGAGCACGAAAAACTGCTTCTGTGCACAGTAGTCAGAGAAAATGGTATTTTCAATACACAGAATGAAGAATGCTGGAATAACAGTACTCCAGGAAAAGGTCAGGCTTGGAGAGATCTCACCAGTCAACCTCACCAGGTATTGAAGTACAGGGCTCAAGAGCCAATGCATGTGACAGCACTTCTCAGTCCATATGGCCATCTCCCATTGTTCCTCAGCTAGCAAGAAGAAAGCAAACTGCTGGGAAATTTCAGAGTGGCTGGGAAGACATTTGCCCTCAGTATTGCCAAAAGAAAAGAAAAGAAAAAAGCCAAAAAAACATGCCTGCATTAGAGAATCAGTATCAACTAGCGAAGGATAAACTGTTCCTGGAATGTCTCCTTCAGTTGGGGCCTTCGTTTCAGCATCAGAATGGGTGGATCTGAGCCAAAAATGCAATAGCTTCGAGTCTACAGCAGCAGGGAACTGAGGTAGACAAAGTGAATTTGACAGGGCAGGAAATGAGTTGGTTAAATTCAAGTAAAAATACGTTAGTGACCTAAAATTGAAAACCATATTCCGGAATGTAGAGTAGAACTATGGAAAACTCAAAGTCCCTTTAAAACATTCCTTACTTTCTAAATTAATGGTACGTACTGAAGAAACTAATCCCTTCAAAAAATAGTTCACATTCTGTTTGTATGTTTGTTTGTTTTCTAACTTCTGGAGTCAAAGATGAAAAACTAGAGGAAAAGAGCTCTGCACCCTGAGTAGATGGAGGATGGAAGGTTTTGGATCAGGCCAAATAAGGGGCTCAGTGATGCTATAAATCTTACAATAATAAAATCAGAGAACCTTGAGCAAAATTCATCCTTTCCCTAAGCCTTCAAAAAAAATTCCACCCCTTGTGAAAAATGATATACTGACATTTCAAAAAATTTAACATCACTCGTCCCATTTTTAGGCATATACCCAACACATATGGGCAGCACCTGCAAAGAATTCAATGCAGCAGTAAGGAGGGAACTGCCTCACTGCTGCCTGAGAGAACAGCATTGCCTCAGTAGGTTCTGCACTGCTTTCAGTGCACACTTAAAACAAGACAGACACTTGAGAACCAAAACAAAAAACCCACAGACAAAGGTAAATTTGGCGCTTTAAAACAAATACAAGCATGGGCACCACAGGGCATGGATTCCTAAGTGGCACTTTAACACAAATAAACAATAATCAATATCGCTGTGACTGAAAATGAAAGCAGTGTGATAATACAACAAAGAAAACCAAGCTAGTTTATTTGAAAATGGAAAGAAATGAAAGAGCCGTAAGTTTCTTGCACTAGCTAAGGAAGTCAAGAGGAAAGACTTTAAGAGGAAGATGTGATTTCAGAATGTATAATAACCCTGCATGCTCAGAAGGCGATCAGGACATAGAGGAAGAAAAAACTCTTCTTGCACAAACTACCCCTGAGCTTAAGACCTCTACCAAAGGAGAAGAAACTCAAAACCACAATAATATACAACACAGTGGAATGGATGGTGTAGGAATGCAAAAGGTATGCGAGGAAGTGAGCCACCAAAGTTGAAG